TTTGATGTTGTATGGGTCACTACTAGTTTTGGGAATTGGTTGATATCTCACAATTGATGATTGGTTCATTACCAATGAGCCATCATTGAAAACAATTGGTTGGCATCACTTTGAATATTTTCCTGTTCAGGTTGTTATTGCAGATAAGTATAACGTGGTTCTCTGTTGTTTTCTAATTATGAGAAAATGTGATCAATTGCTTGGTCGTTTGGTCACTGGGACCAATCTTCAATTCCTACTAAGGTGGTATACTATCACACTAGATTCACAGAGGTCACCCCACCTCAGGTACTGGTATGTACCTTACAAACAAAAGAGCACAAATGTATCAAGGCAGTGTACAGAGGTTTAGGATAAGTCTTCTACAATTTATGGCCAAAGACTTTAAAACACAGTACTTGTTTTTACGCTGCCTGTCATTCACATTAAGAATGAGTATATTTTTATGCCGCTTTATGACAGCTTTTTCCCAGCAATATGACAGCATCACTATCAAGAGACATCTTGGAGTAATACCATGTCTGAGTATGACATGCAAGCACTCACACAACCATGCATGCAAGCCTGCATGTGTGTAATAATGTTGAACTTGTGTTTTAACCACAGTTGACCTCAGCTACAATGTGTGAAAGTTGTTCCTGTTAGGACTCCTGCATTGTGCCAGTCCAATGGTGCTTTTGCCACTTGTGTATTCAGATGTTGGTTGGGGTATGTCACTTTCACCAAGAACTTGGATGAGGAAGGAAGTTAACTATACTATCATCAATAACTTGTTTGACTGCTACAGACCTGTTTTATCACATACCACAGTGAAGCAGTGGTAATATTACTGAATGGTTGAATAAACATTAAACACATCATGTCTGGAAATCTGACTGAAATTGTGGTCAAGCAACCAGTAAAAACTCTCATGTTTCTAAAGTCATTCTAACTATAACTCTCTTTCTATCTGATCTCTTTTATTCTTCTGAAGGTTAATATTAATAATATTATTTATGCCTTATTATTAAGTGAAGTACCTGAGCCATATTACCTGAAGGTCAATGTTGAAAGCACCTGACAGGTAAATCCCTTTGATGTTTTATCTGTGGCTATTTGATAATGATTGCTTGCTCACTTGTAAAATTTGGATCATTTGACATGAATGGTGGTATAGAATAGTCAAGTGTCTTGGGGGATAGGACTAAATGGCTCAACAAGCCCATTGGCTTACTGCTGTAACTTGTTGGTTGTATGGTGACAACATGCTGTAGGTGGTTATATGATTAGCCCTTTGATCCCAGTAATAGGACTTACAATCAGTGTTCTGTTCTGCTACTTACAGGCTTAGTATGTGACAAAATTATGATAGGTGTGAATGGGATTTATTTGGTGGTTGAGGCTTGCAACAGTGTTCATTTGATGTATTTGCCATGTTGAGTCCTGTGGTTTGATTTTACCACCAGCTGATCTTGCTTCCACACTTTAAGCAATGGTATGGTGGTTGTGCCATGATAGCAATATAAAGATTGATACCTCAAATTATGTTTTGGCAGCTTGTCAAGATTGTCTGAAAAATGTTTCAAACATTTTCAAATCTTTCTAAGAAGAAGGATGTTGGAATGTTTGAAATATTTCTCAGTCAGTGCATATCTTGTTTATGAGGCTCAGCTTTGTCAAAAATGGAGTGAATGATTGGCTTTTTAAATTTACTGCAGCTCGGTTAAAGGGATAACTGAAACTGAAAAATAGAACTGAATTCTTTCAGCATCCATGATGTACTGTTTACTTTGAGTTTTTGTTCACTTGGACTGAGCTTGCTCCTTTGCAAACAAAAGATTTTGTCAATAAATCGTTTGCCATCTGCAGATCAGTAATTTATGTTTGACACATTCTCAAATAAACATGCAAAGTCAAACACTGTCAAACATTTGCCTGCCTCTCTTCTTTTGACAGTTTCATGATAAATTTTACCATGAACCCTTTGTCAAACAAAAATTTGGCCATTTGTCATGGCTGAAAATTGAGGCTGTGAACAGGGCATCCAATATTCAAGGTCATCATGCTACCAAGGTCATGATAAACATGCACTTCACGATTCACAATCTCCAATAAAGATGGCAACTGAAATCTCTATGCCGTGATGATTAAACTTCTGTGCAGTCAATAGTGTTCATGCATAGCAACAGATGCAGCTCATCAAAGTATTGATGTCCGATCACTTTGTATCCCTATTTCTGAAAGTGAATTAACTGGTGTTGTAAGGAGGTAATATTCAGTATATGCTACAGGAGTCTGCATAATCAGGATAATTCCACAGATAGCTATGAGATAACCAGTGATAATTGTCCACAGATGAGCAGGTGTTGGGGTCATTTTGATAGGGCTTCTTCTACTTGGCACGTTCATGAAGGTTGTGAATCAAAATCCACAGCCAAGACTTATGTAAGGAGATAAGCTCTGATTGGGCTGGATGTGGAAGACAGTCATCCCCTAGGACACTGTTCATTTTAATCTTGATTCATGAATAACATTACTGACAGGTATCAGTTATTGGTTTCTCTTAAAACCTGATCTACTTTGTCCTTTGTGGAAGTCTTGCCATCGTTTCCAGTTTCTGTAACCAATTTCCTGAAGGCAGAATTGTTAAGCTTTACTATGATTTCTTTGGCTCACTGTAGGTATTCATAACATTACACAAAAACTCTCCTATTGTCATTTTTTAGACTTCTTCAAATTATGTTTGTGTTATTTTTTTTAATGATTTTCACAAACGTTTGAGATAAGTATCACAGAAAGTTAATCATAAATTTGATTCAGGAATCTGACCATGCTGATCACAGTAACCATGGTAACTGTCTGGAACTGAAGGAGTTAGGTTAACAATTACAAGGCTCTGTTGTAATTGAAGGAAATATAAATAGCAACAGATTGAGGTTTGCTTAGAAACGTAACAGGAGTGAGAAATAAGCTTTATAATCATTTTATTTTAACTAAATTATCTACCATATGCATTGTGCAAGGTCATTTCTGTTAATACAGCTCCTGAATGCCTCCTCCCATCGGTAATTAGTGAACACATGGTATTGAACAATCAGTTATCTTCAGTTGTTTCACAGCATCATGGGAAACCATGGCCACAATCAGTATGAGCGCACCCCCTGTGGCTGCAAGACTGATGGCTTGTAGCTGATGTATGGTTGCTGCTGCTGCAGCAGTGTTGTCAATCACGTCTGTCTATTGCTTGTCACTCTCCTGGGAGGAATTGATCCCTACAATTAGCGATCTGTGTCTTCACAGCCTTATCTTGTTGATAGAAGAGGGCTAAACCTAGTGCCAGGGCTGGAGAACAACACAGAGTTACAAGTGGCACCGAGTGCCAGCATGTTGTACATCAGCTTGGCCAGGAACTGTTGTTGTAGTTGTCTTCTTGAGGAGAACATGCTCCAGAGCTGTTAAACTGCTGTTCCTGTGACCATCATCATCCTCTATTGATTAAGAGGTGGCGGTCAATTTTAGTCGGGGAGGTGTGGAAGCCTAGTGGTTAAAGTGTTTGCTCATCACGCTGTAGATCCGGGTTCAAATCCCCACATGGGTACAATGTGTGAAGCCCATTCCTGCTGTCCCCGTGCCATGATATTGGTGGAATATTGCTAAAAGCGGCGTAAAAGAAACTCAATCAATCAATCATGTACAGTCAAGATGCAGATAAGGGGAGCAATAGTAGCTGTCCAGTCAGTGACTTTAGCCACTGTCTTATCCAGGGCCCACAAAGCCTTCTAAGTGTTACTCTTGTAAATCACTACATCTTTCATAGCAATATGATTTTGTATGGGACCTAGTGCCTGAGAGGCTTTTCCTTAACTAGCATCAGATCTTCATTAGAAATGAAATATTTAAAGATGTAAAGAATACAAGATCCTTCAGAACTACTTATTGCCTAATATTTTGGAGGTTAAGACTGTCTGTACTGAATAGAACAGGTATGAATCATGAATATTGTGATGACTGAACACATACTTTCATAAAACTATGCCCACTAATAGTCATGGTCCCTACCTTTCCTTCTTCAGTTTATTAGAGGCATTATGTGTTTTCAATATTTCTTTTATCTTCTATATAATATAATTTGTGACAAGGGCATATCTTGCTCATGAAGCTATGATACGACTGAAATAATGTTCACAGTAACGTTAAACCCAACTCACTCAAAAGCAAACAGAGCCTTAAACATGAAAATAGTTGTTCATTATCTGATGAGTAAAACATTTTTTGAAAGTGACTAGGTACCATAGTTTTTTCTTTATAAACAGAAACACATTTTAAGCCATTATTTATCTCATCAAAACCAATGACTGTCAGAATGCCATCTTACCCCAGCAGGTACATGAGATCATGTAACATAATTATCATTACGTTGGGGCTGTTGCTTCTATATTATGATGCAACTGTGTCGTCAATGATCAAACTGTTACATGTTTCCATTTAACATTATAGTGATTTGTCTCCACAACGCTGTATTAGATGTGGAAAGTGCAACCCAGAAAGCGTTAATAGACATGGGTATATGACCCAACAGTTAATCTGGTACATGTTGTATGGTAATAAAGATAAGGTATTATCATGAAATGTGGATATGCTTGGTTAAAGTACCTTTCAAGAAGAGATCCAGGTGAAAATGATGAACAAAATTTTTATCCAAGAACTCACTGACCCAAGGTTAAACTGATCTACACCACTGACACATTACTGTCAACAACAGTACATTGTATGACCTTGGCATTGGTGATATTCCCCCCCTGGTTACACCATGCCTGATTTTGTTATCAGCACCCTTTGTTGGTTCCAAAGCCAGACTGGAACGAGTATTCGGTGGTCACAATGTCTGAACGATTGTGGGTCAGCTTACCAGTAGCGTGGGTTGTTGCTTGCACCATGCACCATTGTTTTCCCTGACCCAGTGTGGATAAGCTTGTTTGGCTGTGTAGTCCTACTTATTGAGTGTTGTTTGTTGTTTTCAGTGCGGGATATCCCGGGGCTACTCAACGAGTATGAATTTAATCGCATCATGGTGAACAGTGTCCCCAAGCCGTACTTGTACGTCTACCCGAAACAGTTACGAGACAAGCGAGTGGTGGGAATATCAACCAAGGAGCACAAAGTGAGGCACCATGTAAGTCGTTTTCACAATCCTTCAGATACATGGGCAGGAGTAGGTCTTTATCAGGTCAATAAACCTTCCCCAATGTATTGATGCATCACACTCTTGCAGTTAGGTGGAGATTGTAAGATGTGGTTATGTATCACCACAATACAGTACAAGAATCTAGACGATATTTCTACAAATAACACATGTAGGGCACAGTTCAGTGTCACCATAGACACCAGCATTCATGCAGATTTACATATGTACACCTGTTATGTACATGTCACGTGTCATACACACACAAACACGCCACGCCACGCCATGCCACGCCACGCCACGCCAAGCCAAACCACATTGGGGATTGGAGGATGGTCTCTGGCAGACTTAGTAGACATCTATTTCAGCTCAACACACTGCATGATCTGGCTGTGATGCAGCTCTAAAAAGCAATGATATTTCAACAAAAGAGCCACAAGATAGTTGTTTTCATGTTTTATGCTAGAGACTTTTTTTCTGTTTCAGGGAATTCATGAGCACTTCAAACATGTCACACTTTTACTTACACTGGATAATAAAAGATACAAGATCAAGTTGGAGAGAAATGAGTAAGTATGGCATGTAGCACCGTGCAGCAGCAGTATACTCAACACCAAAAGTAACTCAGCATCTTCAAAATATGAGTGTGTTTATTATGCTGAAGGTGTCCTCCATTTCGTCTAGTGAACTTGCAAAAGATCATTTAGTTAGCATTTGCATTTCTCTTTTATTAATACTGATTCAAGTTCACATCAGGCCTAGCAATTTATGGTAAAATGGTTGAAATTATGGTAAAATGTCTGGTAAAACTTCTCATAAGACATATACTCAAATTAATGGTGACAATTTAAGGTGTCTTTTTACTCCAATGCCAAAATAATTGGAAAACACTACAGAGGTCTTTATTTTGGTGTGTTCAGTTTATTAAGCACCATACTGGCTGTATTTCATGATTGTTTTCTACTGTCAGTCATCAATAGTTACGTTTGCCTGTGAGCATCCTAGTTTTATCTAGAAGAAAGTGCATTCATGTATATCAATTCTGTTTTACTACTTCATGATTATTTGTCAAAGCTTATCACTGTCAGATCAAACATCCAATTCCATTTGCCTCGGCTGATCTCTGATATCGGGATCTTATCAAGCCTTGTGATGGACGCCTAACGGGTGAAACCAACACGAGTCTATTGCAACATGATGTCACATATTGCAACAGTGTGTTGTTGTTCATTGATGAATCAGACCAATCAATATCTGTGCCCTGGATCAACCGTGTCCGTCAGCCAGGAACACAAGGCGGGATAGGATCAGCACACATCACACAGGCACTTTGTTTACAGCAATCGACACTAATTTATTTTGTACACAATGTCAGTCACCATGTAAAGAAAACATGGATTGAAGAATCTTTAGACATGTACAGTATGCTTATAGCTGGTGTACTTAGAACCAACTACTGAAATTTGAACAGAACAATAGATTGTTAATATTTCATTCCTTCTGTCCCTGGGGCGGTGGGGTAGCCTAGTGGTTAAAGCGTTGGCTCGTCACGCCGAAGACCCGGGTTCGAATCCCCACATGGGTACAATGTGTGAAGCCCATTTCTGGTGTTCCCCGCCGTGATGTTGCTGGAATATTGCTAAAAGCGGCGTAAAACCAAACTCAGTCAGTCAGTCAGTCCTTCTGTCCCCCAAATTGAAAGTATACTTTTAAGCTTTTTCAGCTTTATCAGAGATATTTTTTGTTAACACCAGTGACAATAAACTGGTTTCAGTGAGAAGGGAATATGAATTGAATAAGCGGTGTTAATAATGACTTGTGACTCCAAAGAAAATTAGGCCACAAAAATACATTATATTTTCCAAAAATTATGTATAACAGTCAATCTAATTAGTTTGGTGTGTGTGTGTGTGTGTGTGCATGCGTGCATGTGTCTGTCTCTCTGTCTGTCTGTCCCCCTGTCTCTCTGTCTGTCTGTCTGTCTGTCTCTGCATGTGTTTATTCTTTCTTCAGGTAATGTAGTAAGGGAACACACATTATGTATATTGAATTTGTCCACTCTGTATGTTCCCTTTTCAACAGTTCCCAGTTGCACAGATCGATGCTATTGCTGTTGATCACTGGATTGTCTGGTCCAGACTCGATTATTTACAGACCACCACATAGCTGGAATATTGCTGGGTGAGGCGTAAAACTAAACTCACTCACTCACTCACCCTTTTCAACAGAAGTATATGAGGCAGTGGTTGGGTAGAAAGGAAGGTCATATGATAAGCTAATGGCCCTGATGAAAGTAAAACCTTTGGTAAAATCTTTGTCTTTTGTTCTGTGTAGTGATGCCCTAATATCCCTGAAATTATGTTTTAAGATGAGTAACTAGTTACCCATGCTTGAATCTAACGTAAGTCATTCTAAGTATTAATGGCCATTATGTCATCTGATTAGGGATCGATACAGCGACCAGTTTTCTAGAAAAGTTAAATGTATTTTTGTGACATGCTTTAGCAAAAGATAAATGGTTGACTAGTAATGGAAGTAGTGCAATGGTTGACTGGTAATGGAAGTAGAGCTACTGGGGCGGTGGGGTAGCCTAGTGGTTAAAGCGTTGGCTTCGCCACGCCGAGGATCCGGTTCGTAATGGTTAAGCCCATTTCTGGTGTCCCCCCCGTGATATTGCTGGAATGTTGCTAAAAGCGGCGTAAAACTAAACTCAGTCAGTCAGTCAGTAGAGCTACTACAAGTAATGGAAACATGTTGGCATCTATCCAAGCCACTGTTTAGTGTGGTGATAGCAGTAAAAAACACCAGTAGGCTCATATAATGTCAAAAAATGGACCCCAGATAACCCAGCTGCCCAAGGCACCTGAATTCACTGCACAATGCAGTGTCCCACTGTCCAGGAACTTGTGATCTTGGGTTAGAAACAGTTCCATCCTGATTTTTTCATTTTTTTTTGACTCAACACCCATGCTTGTGGGTGAGTGAGTTTAGCTTATGCCACACCCAGCAATATTGAAGCTATATGGCGTCAGTCTGTAAATAATCAAGTGGTCCAGACAATTCAGTGATCAACGGCATGAGCATCAATCTACGCAATTGGGATACAATGACATGTGTCAACCAAGTCAGTGAGCCTGACCACCCGATCCCATCAGTCGCCATTACGACAAGCATGGGTCGATCCCATCAGTCGCCATTACGACAAGCATGGGTCGATCCCGTCAGTCGCCTCTTACGACAAGCATGGGTTCCTGAAGATCAACCCTGATCTTCGTTTTGGGTTCACCGAAGAAGTAAATGTCTAAGACAATTGGGTAGACCCATCTCATGCACTCACTGTATCTGAAGAACATGTCATTCAAAGGCCCAGTCCACAAGGCATTTAAGATGATAGTAACTGTCATGCTTTAACAAAGACTTACCATTGTCCTAGAGCTGTGAACGCTTTCTGGATCGGGCCACTTGTAGATCATTAAGAACATAGGAAATAGCATCTTCTAAACCCAGACCATGTTGTTTTATGTGGTGTATGTATCTGTTTTCAGTGCACTATTTTCATCGGGGATTATGGTGAAACACTATGCAGAAACTAACCAGCAGGTCATCACACAGGTAGGCACAGCTTCTGTTTACTGTCTCTTGTAAGGAGTGGTTACCTAGCACACTGGGTCAAGTGTTCACTCATTAGGGCAAGGATCCAAGTTGGTTCATACAGAGAGGATTCTTGCTGTCACTTCCCACTGTTTCTATGTTTGAGTGTTTGGTACTACATTGAAATGTTTGATCTTTTCTTACCTTGTCCTCTCTGATAATGTGAAACAAGAAGTGAGGAAGTATTGTTCCAGTAAATCACTGAAGAGAAACGCCAACAATGGACTTGACACCTTTACAGGTACTAATGTGGAGAATCCAGAACAGGTCTTTGTCATGATCAACAAACACTTTAACCACTGTCCTATCCCACTAACCTTGAAATGGAAAGATGTGAAGGAAATATAGTAACAAGGGTGCTTACTGAAAAAGAAACAGATTTGGTAGTTTGTTGTAAGTTGGACAATGCAGAATTTAACATCTAGCAATGCAGCGTTTCTGTTCAAAACTCCAAACTAACTGGATATCTCGCTTGGAGAAAGAATCAATGGATTGTCTGCTACAAGGACTATTCAAAGAAACGCTGACATCAGGGCCTAGAAATAACTTCATTACTGCCTCTTACTGCCCTTGTATATTTGATATTGTTGGACCTCCATTTAGATGGGCCATTGAAGAGAAAATACAAAGATTTCAATTTGAAATGTCTGTCTCATCTTTTGCTGGTTTGGAACTAAACCTCTGGTAAGGGCTGGTTACGGGGAAAAAGCTTGGAAATACAAGCTTTGCCTCTGTAAGGGCCGGATATAGAGCTTAGGTTTTGAAAAGAGATCTTCACCTCTTATAAACGCCAAGCTTCTTATAAAATCCAGTCTTAAAATGAACTTAAAACAGTGGTGACAAAATGCTCAGACTGTTAGTTGTGGACTTTTGTGTGGTTTTCAATGATCAGTTCCCTGTTTCCGTTTAATGATACTTGATGATCCAACTGGCTCTGTTGGAAAAGTCACGAGATATTTCCGCTTTTTGTTTTGTTACAGATGATATGTTTTTACACATTTCTTGATGTGCAAAACTCTACTAAGATGAAATATCAAGACATTATATTGTCATAGGATCCAGCGCTTGTTGCTTGCTGATTCTAACAAAATGCAGTGAATTATTCAAGGATCTTGGCTCAGATAATATAATGTAGCATTGTGGTGGCATGAGAATATTCACAGATTATTCTGACTTTAATGATATGACTCATCATGAGAACTGTAATTGATTAAGATCTGTCATATGAGGAATTTGTTCCATTATTTGCTTAGACTTTGCATGTTTCATATGGAACCATTTGGACTCTAATGCCTGGAGGAAAATGACTTTGGGCACATGTGAATCATGCTTATACTTGATTTTCTGTACAAGGAAGAACCCTACACATATTTGAATATTGTAGAATACGACTGGTTTAATGTTCAGGGCTATATGATTCATGTAGTACGTATTAGCTTAATGCGTCACAGTAGATTTAGGAGCAACTACATTTGTGAGTTCCTTGATTGAGGCTAAAACATGCATTTCATTTGAAAAATGTTTAAAAAAGAAATCATTATGTTTGTCATATTGATATTATTTAAGAATTTATCTTCCAAATCGCATATCATTAAATAATTGATTTGTAAAATATAATTTTTTCCATATGACTCATATACTCTTGGTCTTTTTATCTAAAAGTCTCTGTCCTCGCCAATCTGCGTTTTGATATTCAAATCTTTTGAACACCAAGTCTCATCGTTAACCCTGGATCCTTCACAGGGTTTTGTGGTGTTTCTTGGCATTATTAATGACTCCTAATCGAATGAATTTGTCAGAAAAGCTTGGAGCGTTTCCTTGGTCAAAATGCTGCCCGCCCAACTGGAATTCTTCGCTGGATGGGAAGTGTGATCGAACAAATGAAGCAAAAATATAAGGGCAGTGAATGATGATTCCTGATCTCTCCGGAGACCTGAGGCCTTAAATAAGTTGGACTCCTTCCAAGACTGCTATTCTATAAAGTGAATGAGTATTTTAACGATGAAGACAGACTGCCATCTTCTTAAGTAGCAGTGTCTATTCTGCTGGCAGTGGTAGGGATGTTTATCATTAAAAAGCTAAGTTGGGAGATTCATACATGTCTTGCAAAGAGCTTATAAGAAATGCATGCTTATGGACAAAATAATTCTCTCAAAGACTGACAGTTCTACAGCGAAATTTCAGATTTTTATGATTTTCTAAGATAATTTTGTTCCACCTCTCCTTCCCTTCCTCGCTTCTTAAAATGAAAACCCATTTGAATTACTAGTTGACATGTTGATTTTTTGTATTTTGGTCGTCAAAAAGTATTTGACATTTCTAAATCAATATTTCAGATGTTTATACAGTAGTTAAAATAAATTTGTTCCTTGTCCCTCCCCTCCCCTTTCCCCAAATAAAAATAAATAAAAAGGATTTGAATTCCCAGTTGACATTTTGACATTTTGTATTTTGGTTGTCAAAAATTATTGCTTAAATGGCTGGCTTCAACAAAGATATGTTTTAAGGGTATGACTGTCTTGTTCAACTTGTATGTTTCAAGTAGGGGATGCCTCTGGCAGTCGTAACACTCTGATGATTTAAATAAAACCGTTGTAGATAAAAATAATGTTTCTGGATAAATGACCCATAACATGATTTGTCTCCCACCCTCATTGCAGATCCCTGAGATTAAGGGGTGGTGTTTCTTACGTGTGCCAGTGTCATTGACATCAGGATGAGGAACAGACCTGTCCAGATTAGATCATATATTACCTCCCTTTATAAGTTACATGTACTCATTTCTAAGGCAGGCTGATCCAAATGAACCACACAGGTTGTTACACTAATTACAGATGTCATTGGAATCATTGAAAAAGTCACAGTTGGGTGGTAATCCAGTGCTTGTATATTCAGGTAGTGTTGCAGTGTAGGGAAGGTCTCCTGGAGTGGTCTTAGTCAATAATGTAGGCCTTAGCTCCTCCAGACAGGCAACACTGAGTACAGACTGTAAGTAATGACAGCTTAAGAATGTTGTGTGACTTGACTAGTACATTCTGACTTCTTACAAATGGTCATGTCACACCTTTGTGTGAGGGGTCTTTCATCCAGCTGACCTTTCAGCACCACGAGTGAAACCACTGTATACAAGCTGTACCATGTCTCTTGTCTCTCTGACCATGCCCTCCCAAGTGTACATATCTTCTAGATAGGCTGTCTACCTACTATACACATTGTCCACCTTATATGACCCCACACATTCAACTCCCTGACACCGCTGACAGCTTCAAGATCCCTCCAACATTTTACTTTCATTCAGCACCCACACACACACACACACATTCAACTCCCTGACCTAACACATTCAACTCCTTGAGATTCAACTCCCTGACCCCATACATTCAAGTCCCTGATTCCACACTTCAACTTCTGACCCCTTTCATTCCCTGGCCCCAACTCTGTTAACTCCCCTGACTCCTAACCAGTCCTCCATATTCTCTCCTAAATATTACTCTTTCTCAAACATACTTCTTAACCCATTCTTCCTCACCTGAGCAAACATCCCTTGATAGCCCAAGTTAATCCCACAAAACAACCCTCTACTACATCACTGCCCAGGGTCTCCAGCCTCAGTCTCCAGTCAGTAGGTTTACTCAGTACCCACACCAGCTGCCTGCCAAGAGCCATCTCACCTGGTCATTTACAGCAGCCCCTTCAAGAGAGTAGGTGCAGCATCATGTCATGTTCCTTGTTTGTTCTCGGATTGACATGTTGATGTACATGTACCTACAGATAGAGATCACTTCCAACTGCATTAGAACTTGGCTTTGTGCAAGTTGGATGTTGATCGTATCATGATCATACAGATTACATGAACAGAACCTGCCCGGCCTGTAACCATCATGAAAAATGTTCAGAGCATTTGACAGAGCATCAGATTTAATTTCTATCTTATACCTTCATCTTAAAAGTTCCTTTGATCCTATATGTTATGGAAATGAGTTAATTTCTTGTTTATGAATAAATTGTACAGCTTTAAGTTACAACAAAGGTATAATTATTCATATGTGATGTGTATTGAAATCCAAGTTAAACGACTAAAAGTAGGTTGCACATCATGTACATGCAAGTCACAGAAGCTTGACAAGCAAAATGGACTGATGACAGCATATATTCAACATCAAAGCTCCATGCTTTTAGTTCTCCCTGATGTTTGACAGCAACGAGTTCGCTGTACAGGATGTTTACAAAAACATTCAGTTTATGGTACATCAGTTTCTGCCTGGACTGTACTTTCATGATTTATTCTCAGCTAGATCTAATCTTGATATATGCAACATAGTGCAAGGCAAGCTGTTGATTCACCAGGGGAAAGTGTGAGGTGTTGTGCCGTGAGGGACAACGATTGGCTGCACCCATTGTTCCCAGGTGGGGCACCTGACCCATGTCTGATCCATGTCTTTGTTGGGGATGAGTCAACCATAAGCTTACCCAACTGCATTCAAGAAAGTATCAGCATGATGCTAAACCTTGAATCAAACAGTGAGTCAACACTATTTCAGCTGTACAATTGCCACCAGAATCCTTTCTATCCCCATGGATCCTTGTACAGCAAACCAGTGGAGGAAAAAGATGAGCATCTATTCACCTCTATTGCCTATGTTGATGTAACAAGGTCACAGATGAATGTCTGTATGCCTTGGTGGCTAGATGGTGCCTCAGTCGGCAGTTGTCTCCCTTTGCTAGGACAAGTGTCGTCATCACAGGTTCAAATCCCTGATTGTGTTTCTAGGTTTGTCAGCACCATTCCGGTGCTAGTGCGGTTTCACAGAAGCTGTAAACAGCTGAGGTGTAAAAGATTTGGGGATTTAGTCCCAAAACAAGCTGACATTCTGTGATGTAACTATAATGTTCTTCAAAGCAGTATTACCCTAAAGTAACTGTTCATGCTTATACCAAGGGCTGGGCACAATGTGTGAAGC